CTTCAGGTATTTCACTATTGTAGCAATCTCGTGGTTTTATAGGAATTTTCTGCAAATCAAACTAGACATTTATTTCCACATTAGCTGTCGGCTTTCTTAAAATATTCTGATATTTAAACATTTAACCAGCTTTGAAATTATTGCTGTAAATGCTGTAAAGCTTCTGCAGCAGAATCCACTTCTCCACTGTCCCTCTGTGTGCCCAGTTTGTTCAAAACAGCTCATACTTTAACCAAAAAGTAACTACTATGGACACTAAATACGCTTTTCTTTTACAAGACTGAATGTAAATAAGTACAGAATAAAATAACCTAATGAAAAACTGATAACTGATGACGACGCTACAGCGAGCAACAGTTTTTAGAGGTCACACAATAAGTTGAATGGAGATCACAGACCAACGTAAACACCACTTATTTGAAGGCTCGAACAGTTGTTTACTCAATAAGAGATCATAGATGCAGACGTGATGGGGACGAATAATGGAATAAATAACATTATTTTATCTTACTATCAGTTTGTAAAGATTTGTTTTCACTCTGTTGTTGTAGTCTTTCTTATATTTAGTTAATCAGTTTAAGAAATAACTAAATATTAACTAGCTTAAATATTGTAAATGAGTAATCTACAAACTCTTAGCAGCCAACTTTAAAGGCTGGATATGGATGGATACTCACTTTGGGAAGAAGTAACTCAGTCACCCATCTAAAATTTGAGTTTTGATGCAGTATGTTCGACTATAACAACAACTGATTGGGCAAATGTAAGGATACATTATTTAACATGTAGAAAAAAAACCCAGACATGTTTAAGAAAAAGTTCTGTATTCCATCATGATGGATTTTAAAATAACAAGGATATTGTGCATATTTTTTTAACATTAAATATTAGTATTTGGCATGCAGGATACAAAGGCACTCAAATTGTACAGATGGGCTACTAGAGAAGAGTAAACAAAAGCATGGGTACAAAACATGAATACAAGAAGGACAACACAGTAAGCTTCCACATTATTCTTGGCAATCCACACCGACTCTGTAGCGCGTATTTTCAGACACAGTAATCGTCTCTGCTGTAAGTTGGAGGAATGGAAGGAAGAAGATCAAGAAAGAAGCGCAATTTACTGCAATATCTTCATCAAACACAGTTAACAACAAAAAAAATCAACTGAACTATTAGATGTCCAGCCTGGCCTCTTGCTTCGGCCTTCCAAGCTGTCTGGTTGGCCCGATGCGTCTCCCAGCATGGGTGCGCTGATGCTGCCGCAGACCCTGGCGGTAGATGAAGCTCTTCCCGCATTCTCCACACTCGTAGGGTCTCTCTCCAGTGTGAAGCCTGTGGTGCACCTTCAGCTCCTCAGCTCTGGAGTAGCCTTTCCCACAGACGCTACAAATGAAAGGTCTGTCTTTAATGTGGGTCTGGTAATGTGCTGTTAGGTACGAGTTTATCCGAAACGTCTTCCCACAGATGGAGCACGCGAACGGCCTCTCGCCCGAGTGCTGCATCTCGTGCAGCTTGAGAGAGGAAGCTGTGTGGAAACCTCTGCCGCACTGGGAGCAGAGGAACGGTTTCTCCCCAGTATGGATGCGCTGGTGAATCTGTATGTAGCTCTCATTGATGAACCTCTTGCCACAGTCGGGACACGAGTAGCGCTTCTCCTTAACGTGGGTTTTCATGTGTTCTTCCAGCTTTTCTTTTTCATTGAACTGAATGCCACAGCGGCGGCAGAACAAAAGCTGTGATGTGCTGTGCTCGACTGCATCTGATTCACCGGCTGTTTCTGAGTGTGTGGTAATGTGGTGTGCTTGTAAAGCTGACTGACTCTCACATTCTTTCCCACATTCCAGGCAACGGAGGGATGACCTGATCCTGGACTCTCCCGGCAGAGACTTCAAGTATTCAGAGAGTTCTGACGCTATTGGATTGACCTCATCGTCAAAATCCACAGCGCCCTTACGACCTTCGCAGAGACAGAAAGGAGAGTAAAACATAGGATTATTTGCAAGTATAACAATCTTTAGCATTGTGCAGGACTTCAATTTAAATTCACTTACGGTTTACACTGAGTCAAATATTGTACTCGGATCAATTGTGTCTTTCCAAGCTGACTCTGCGTTGCCAGTTTGGGGTCAATTCTTTGGATATTTTATGTATTCAATGTTTTGCTCTGTGTTGTGCTGCTCTGCGTTCCTTTACATAACTATTATAATTGTGTAATATGGAGACAAAACTCAAATTGAAGACTTCTCTAAACCACCTTGCTGGTTTTCCTGTGTTGCTCTGTGTACATTGATGCAGCGGGAAAAAGGCCAGTTATTCGACTGACAGCATGAAGTTTGACTCTGGGGGCAACTAGGCTGATGAATCATTGAGTTTTATGGGGCAGCCATACCGTCTCAAATCGTGGTTTTAGAATACATATAGGCACTCACAAATACAAAACAATACAGGTCATCCATACAAAATACCAAACTCGAGATGACTTCTGAATCTTTAGTTTTTGTCCAGCAAAAAAAAAAAAAAAGAAGAAATCTGTATTATTATGATATTTACATTACATATATAATATATGTAGACAACACATTTTCTAGGATATAATTGTAAATGTAAATAAACTGTAAATAAAGTATAATCCAGTCTCACCTAAGTGGACTTTGTAGTGCGTTTTGAGATTCCCCTTCTGGTTGAAACCCCTCCCACAGATGGAGCAGCAGTAAGGTCTCTCTCCTGTGTGGATCAGCTCGTGCCTCTCTAGTTTGTAGGCATGAGGGAATTCTTTGCCACACACTGAGCAGTGGTACTCTATCTTCTCTTTGGGCTTCTTCAGGAGCTCAGGAGGGATTTCTATTGGAATGCGAACCATTTTCCTGCCCGGACGCTTCTTCCCTATGTGGGGAAAGAGAAGGTGAAATTACAAAATAAGCTTGTGGATTTAAAATCTGACACATACCGACCAGATTCTGTGTTGCCCTGGTTTTTGTTTTTGTTTTTTCATCAATACCTGGTTTGTGACTCACTCACAAACTGAAAGTCACTGTTTCATGTTGAGGAAGATACACATCGGTCTGTTCATAGTCAGACCAGTTTTACACATGCCTTTCTCACGTACAAGAAAGGAAAATAACCGCAGTAGCAGCTTAGATGTAAGATGCAGATGTAACGTGATAGCTGCTGAATTTACACACAGCACCACCTGCAGGCAGTTACAGCTAAAGATTATTATTTTTCATAGCTGCTGTTTTGTTTTTGAGGTTTTACATGAACAAAGATAAAAAATATAAAAGATGAGGGATGTTAATATTTGAAAAAGTATTTTTTAAATAAAAAATGACCTATTTTTTTTTAGAAACATCTATGACCTCTCTCAATCACAATACGCAGCATGTCTACATCGAAACCGCCACTATGGCTATTTTTCTTTCTGATTTGTGAAACAGGTTGGACTTGAAACTGCTGCTGCTCTGCATCTGGACGACTATCAAAGATGATGATGATTCTGTAATGTACGTTCTTTGTGTTAAAAGTGCTTTAGGGAAGATTGTAAAACGTCAAACACATCCTGTCAACAGTGTATTCACCACACTAAATCACAGAACCAGGTTTATTTTACTGCAGGCAATCATTGCAGTAGTGTTTCTATTATACCTTACATTACCAGTTAACACACTGATGAAACCGAGCTAACCGTGGGATGCACTACCAAGCTGGTTATACACTCTCGTGGTCCTGTTTATTTGCTCACCAGCACTTGTTTTTTCTCCTTCTCCTTCAGCAGATGGTTTGGTATCTTTCCTTCGTCTGTAAGGTCGCTTTGCTGGTAGACGAAAAAAAATGTTTATTGCTTTACTCTAAAACAAGAAGATGGGTTGGGTATCAGGATTCAAAACTGTCGTAAGATCATCAATTCCTTTAAAGTTAAGTATTCATATTTACAATACAGCTTCACAGAACAAGTGATTTTCCATTAAAAAAATATGGAAAGAGGTGTTGCCTATTAATGAACTCTCTGTGACTAGTTAGTAGTTTGTTTTTTTCCCCCACTCTTGCACACTGCAATATACCCAACAGACCTGTTTTTCTTTTATAGCTAAAATAAAAATGAAATTAAGTTACCTAGAATCAAGAAGCATAATTGGACTAAATCCAAACAATACCCAACCCTACTTGTGAACCTTGTGTTTTTGCTTGTCTTACCAACAGCTCGGCGGACAGTTTTCATGTTTACTTCTTCTGATTCCACTATGATAGGGACATTTCTCTTTCTTCGGGTGCGCCTTGATACTGTAAGATAAAAAATTAGACTTGTAATAAGAAAACAATTTTCAAATTATTATTTCAGATGTATAAAATGCATTCAATTGCCATAAAAATCAAGAGGAACACTCACTTCCAGGCTCTGCCTCTAAGTCCTCACTGGACAACAGTTGAACTTCTGAAGTCTTTCTTCTGCCCCGTCTTTTTACTTTGTGACAAAGAAAAACAGCAGAAAATATAACCATATGGAAAAAAACAGTTATTATTGATTTTGAATAGCAGATTAAAATAAAACAATCCACTAAACTTCTTATTGTGACTCTTCTGAATCCTCCACATACACTACTTAAACCAATATTGTGAACGTGTATTATAATTATATTCTCGTCTTCGTCAACACTTCACTCACCAGGAGGTTTTGCAGGAACCTCTTTGTCTGCGTCTGAGACGTCCAACGACACCACTTTTATTTCTGGAAGCTTTTTCTTTCTTCTGTGTCTCTTTCCTGGTAATAACATGTGTGCAGAAATACAACCTCAGAACTGAGACATAACCATTATCTACAACCTGTGACTTCATTTTTCTTTTGACCTGTGTTTACCACGATATAAGGGCGGGACAGCTGCCATCTTTACTACTCTCTCTTTTTCCTCCCCTTCTTCCCTTTCTTCATCTTCCCCAACAACTTCCATGATGAGTGTTGGACTACTGCTGTCTCTCTGGTTTTGGACTTGCAGCTGAGACTCGGACAGGATGACACCCTGTGATCATAATCATTAAAAACCATCAGAAACACACCCACCAAACCCACCCTTAAAGGGTAACTTTGGTATTTTTCAACCCTATTTTCCCGTGTTTTTGTGTTGAAGTTACTAGTGGGGACAACAATGTTTGAAATTGCAGTTAGATGCAAAAATATTCTGGCTCTTAGACACGTTTTCTCCCCCTGCCTCTTTGATGCCAGACCTCCCTCTTGCTCCTCTCCCAAAAATTTCACATCTAACTCAGTTAATTAAGGAATTATATCGACAGAACTAGAGCTGGTGGTTGTTGGAACGGTGGAAAGACAAACCAAGACGGTTTTGGTGAGTTTTATTTTGTTTAAGTTTGAATAGAAGTTTGGATGATTACAATACAGCCAGTTTCCCAGCTGCTGGCTGCAGCTCTCGCGCTCAATACTGGACCAATTTCAACAATGTCCCCCATTAGTCACTGAAAAATACCATAAGTTTACCTTTAAGCCTGCAAACAGCAGAGAAAAAAGATTTTTTTATGTTTTATGTCTAGTGGCAGTAAACTCGTTGTCCTCAGCAGTTTGGGGTAGGAGGCAGTACGGCGCTGCACTTGCAACTGCAGCAAACTGTTAATTAGTAATCCTGCATATTTATCTATCGTGCAGTAAGAATGAAAACTCTCTCCTCTAGTAAATAAATGTTGGTTCACTGCTGTATTTTGATATTGGGATTTAAAGGTGAAACAAACCATACAGTAGAAGTCACATTGTGCTTTATAATTATTAGACAGCTGTTAAGTGTGAAGATTTCTCTCCTCCATCCCTCCACAAAGCACTAAAACGTCAGTCGAAAATAAAGTTGACAATTCAGTGGATCATAATTCTTGTGTACCATGAAAAACATTTCCAAGACATTTTCCTGTAGTCATTTCTAGCTTTCCGCTTTGTGCAAATGCTGCATCGCAAAATTCCAGTTTCTCAGGGCGCATAATGGCTCAACCGTCATTCTAGAGGCTGTATATGTGGTGCTGTTGAATTGTATTGTATGCAAAATGATTATATGCTATGTATGCAATCAGAAGTTTCAACAGACTTAAATAGGACAGCCCTCAACTATGCCTTAGTATCAAAAAAACTGATAAATTACCTTGCTAGGCTGAGGACTTTCTGCGCAATCAGAACCTCGGTCAGGACTGTCTCCTGTAAAAATCAAGACAGTTGACACACCTTCCACAGTATTTTAAAACTTCCACAGTATTTTAAAACTGTAGCTTATTCATTCAGGCTTACCATAAATGGCTGCAT